GAAGTATCTTTAAAAAAAAAAAAAAGGCACTGAAGAAACCTTGCAGTGAAACATTAGGACCGCTAAAAGTTAAAATTGTCTAGAAAAATACTTCATAAAAAGAAATATTCATAAATTACTTCATAAAAAGAAGTACTTCATTAACTTTTCCATAAGATTTTTATGTCTTGTCAAACGATTGGAGGAGTAGAGACTGACGTCAAGACAGTTCTGATTTTGGAGTTTTAGGGGGTTTTAGGATCTGTTGAAGTCTGATTTTATTTTTCATTCATTAGACTTTGCCTTGACCCACATAAGATCTGTAACAACTTTGATCCTTTTCTTTGTGTTTGGACAAATAACCCTAGATTAAACCCAAACACTTGGCTTCTCCTTCAGTTAGATGTTTAGATATAAAATAACCTTTTTACTTTAGAACTTACAGCTTAGGCAGGCACCTCAAAAGTATTTCAGATCCTTTCGTATGTACATGAAAACTTCGTGATTTATTTAGTAGATTATGTGCTGTGATTAGAAACGAGGTAAATCTGTGGAATGAGAAGGTTTCTACCTCATAGCTTTTACTGTCTTCTCTGAAATCATTGTGTTTGTGAGGTTTTATATATAATTTCTTTGCTGATTAATATATAGCACTGGCATATTATTCTGTTGCACATTTGTAACAGACATTTGTAAAGACTTGAGACTATTAAAAAAAAAAGTTGTATTAATATGAGCATTCTTGGCAGTCAGTTGAAAAAAATACAGGAACGTAGGGAGTACTTGTGAATTGCACAAGAGCTACATTATGATGAAAAAAATTAAAGATAGAATTGGTAAAGGGCAAAGAAAGGATGTTGAAGGAAAAACTACAGCAAACTAAGTAACTTTCTAAATGGAGTTACAAGGCTGTAATTTACGTGACCTCCAGCTTTGCTTATAGAAGCTTATGTTGTTGGAAGAATTTAACCAGCTAATCTCTGTGAATATTGTGTTTATCAACTGCAACTGTTTCTCCCTAAATTGTGTCAGTGGCCTCAGAACGTTTTGGTGGTGCGAGATGTTGGAGTAGTCAGTCCTCGGGAAAAAACTATCCTTATTACAGAAGGTGGTCTTTTATAGTCAAACGTGTTGTTTTAGGGATTATCTACCGCAACATCTGTGTGAGAAGAAATCTCTTTTCTAAAAAACTTGTCCGCTAAACTCTGAGGAGACTATGCTAACTCATTTTGATGCCCTCCTAATCGTATGACTGCACAGACACAGATATCTACCAAGTCACCCATTCTTATTATTAAGGAGTATGAGGAAACGCAGATGAGATTTAGCTTCAGCAGTCATGAAAACCTGAGGTGTAAAATGCAGACTGAGTTTGCTTGGACACTGTAGACTTCTGTGAAACAACTTGTGCTTTGCAGATAAGTGCAGCGTTGTTATCCTATGTTCAGTAGACAAGGTAGTGGCTCCTATATGATCAGTGTTTCTGCAGTTCTGTAGCATTTATCAGCCCCGTACAAGTATCCCTGTCTAACTTGGGATTAATCGTATCTTTCCATAGCTGCTAAATTCTTCAAAAATCTAATTGAGTGAATAGAGCAAGTGTCATTGTGTATTCCTTAACTGCAAAGCTGCTACTTACTCATCAAAATGAAATAGTGTGAGATCTCGCTCTTCCTCAGTAACTGGAGTTATTTGGATGTGTGCTTTCTGCACAATTCCACAACCTGTTTTCTGTGTGGATACAGCATGTCACAGCTTTAGCATTATATTTTTAGCAGAAGAACACAAGGGCAGTTGTTCCTGCTTGCACGCAGAGTGCTCTGAGCTCTGTGTGGACATTAGTAACTGAAAACGTGACATTAACATTCATTTAGAAGTGTGCTTGTGATCACCCACGTTGACTATTAAAAATCCGTATAACCGTTGTTAACCTAGCAAGAAAATTGACATTTTTTCCTTGATGTTTTATGTGTCAGGTGAATTCACCAGATGAGATTACTTCTAGAGCTCTTTGTACTGCACCTTTTAGTGGTGGGAGATATGTATATGTACATGTATATATGTGCACATAAGCAGTAAATGTACAGCAGGTATACACTGTAAATATGCACTACAGTCTAAATCAATGTGAATGTCACTCTATTGGTGCTTTTCAGCATCCTATGTTTATAGAACCTGTTAGATTAAAAAGAAAATGCTTGTTATCTATGTTTTACTGTAAACCACAATGTCTTGTATAGTGCCTAACTGTAGTAGAGAGACACGGGAAGATTTTTAATTTTTTTTTCTTCTGAACTTATAAAACAAATGCAGACTTTTGCAGTAGCTGTTTTCTTGTGTTCCCTTGCATAGCTTTATCCAGCTGTTTGTTTTTCATATGATGATTATGGAGCAGGGAAGAACCTAGAAACAGTGGGACATTGGCATGATCACATTTTGGTACTTGGGCCCCCAAAAAAACCAAAACAGTTTTATATGCAGTAGTCTCATGTAGAATTTGTGATGTTAATAAAACATAACTTGATGGCACATTAATTTTTTTTTCTTGTGTTCTTTAACAATTAGAGGCGCTTCCATTGCTGGTGAGAGTCATTCAGTCACCAGATGCCAAAACCAAACAGAATGTCAATGCAACAGAGAACTGCATTTCTGCTGTAGGGAAGATAATGAAGTTCAAGCCTGACTGTGTAAATGTTGAAGAAGTCCTGCCACACTGGTTATCATGGCTTCCACTTCATGAAGATAAAGAAGAAGCTGTTCATACTTTCAATTATCTGTGTGACTTAATTGAGAGGTAAGGCAAAGTCTTGACATTAATGCGGAAAGTAAGCCTGTTCGTAAGCCCCTTCACAGGTGTTTTCCTCAAAACTGAGGAACTGCCAGATTAATCTGCATATGCTTTAGAGAAGATAATTTGGAATGTCAGAACTGAGCCTCCTGTGATGTTATTGCTTGCTTTTTTAAACAGTCAATGTTCTCATCCTAATGCCTGTACAGCTTGAAAAAAATCCTAGCTGCTTTATATGTGGAAAGGATCAGCTGGGAACTTCTACAAAAATTTTGATACTTTGCTTACATATCAGCATTAGTAACTGCTGAGGTCTTTTTACTTAAGAGCAGCACCCATACTCTTGCAGCCTTTTTTCCTAAGCTTTTAAAGTAGCTTTGCACGGTTTTTTGCTTTCAAGAAGCCTGAGTATCAAAAAACCAAAATGTGAAGTAGAGGAAATAATACAGATAAATTCACAGTACGATGCTGTGCCCCTTAATAAGTTTGTCAAAAGAATTTCAGTTATTATTGAAAGCATCTTTTCAAAGAGCTTCTTCTTTAGATTTGTCCCTCCTCCCTTAAGTCAATGGAGAAAAAAAGAAGGTAAGTATTCTAGTGTGGGTGCAGGTTGCACTTCATAATTGAGTGGAAGAATGTCAACTTCTGAAACATGTAGCAGCCACCTTCTGGCTGACGCTGTGTATCACAGAATGTCAGGGGTTGGAAGTGACCTCTAGAGATTATTTAGTCCAACCCCCTGCCAGAGCAGGATCATCTTGGTAGAAAAATAGAAAGGAAATAACTTAGATTTTCTACAGTCTTTCCTACTCTGTGAATACCTTCTATCTCATGGCACTTTATTAAGGCAAGGTCTCAAAATGGGTGGTGGCAGCTGATACTGATGCTAGTACAGTTCTGTAGAGGTACCGTAACATCTCTGGCACGTGTTCGTGTGCACAATGTGTATCAAGACTTACAGCACTAGCACACCTTCGTACTCAGCTCTGTGCAGGTGTCTCGGCCTTGCTGTGTACTTGACAGAGCTGCAGAAAGTGCGATATTCTCAGCCTCTGCATTCCAGCGGTGGTAGGTGGCAGGTCTGGAAGTAGATCGTGTTTTGTCCTCAAATCCCTGATTGCCAGTACTTGCTACTTGACTGGGAAACAGGGAGCAGAACTGCTTGTTTGCTGTGTCAGTGAGGCAGAGAGCTGCAGTCATAAGCCCTTTCAGGCAGAGTATCTCTGTCATGCTGTTTACACTTCCATCTGTGGAAAACTCAAACGGTTCAGTAAAGTTCAGAACTTCTCCCTGATGAAGTGTAGGCCGATTAAAGAATCGGCTGGTTAAATATTAACAGGAGGCGGGAACATTGTGTCAGCAGGCAACAAAGCTCTGCATATTTACTCAGCTGAGTGAAACTTAGATGTAAATAAGCAGCTTCAGAATAAGATATTTCAAAATCACTCAGCGAATGAAATCAACTTAGATGTAAAATGCTTACATAAATCGTTTTAGTTTAAACATTAATTTGTGTGTAATATATGTTTTGACTGTAACAGCAACAACCCGATTGTCCTTGGTCCCAACAACTCTAACCTTCCCAGAATATTTGGTATAATTGCGGATGGTGAAATTCATGAAGCTATTAAACATGAAGATCCATGTACCAAGCGGTTGGCTAATGTTGTTCGCCAAGTGCAGGTAAATAAACACTTGCTTAGACATAAAGGGAACATTTAGAATCTACTTTTAGAAGTAATCAAACTGTTAAATTAATTTGAGAGCCTTGTATCTGTGTAGAATAATGCTTCAGTCAGTGATATTGGAGATCCTTGAACCATTAATGATAAAACTTGGTAACATCTACACTTGCAAATAAGTCTGTCTCTTCTGATAAGCTTCAGAAGTTCATTTAAAAAAAGTTATATGCAGCTGGCTGGTTAACATGCTAGCCAGTATTAGCTGTTTGTGGGTTTGTGTTCTGTTTTGGTTTCTTGTTTTTTTCTGAGCCAGAAATTAAAATCTGGAGAGAAATCTGCCTGGTTTTGTACTGGTGAACTGTACTGCAGGATTTGATCCAACATGTGGTTCCTGTAAGGGTCCCCAGCAGCACCCTGTGGTGACTTACTAAGACAGTAGAGACTTGGGATCTTCACTAGAGAATGACTGCAAACCACAAGTAATTTTACTACTGCCCTCTTCAATCCAGTGCAAATACAGGCAGCTGCTCGATGTTTTTTCTGTCTTTGGGGAGCTGCCTCAAGGTTCCCTTCTATGCCACAATGAGTGCTTACGGTGGTGGTTGATGGAGATGTCTGAATATTTAAGCTGTGCCTCCCTGCAGTGTTGTGATGGTGCTCGTGGGGCAGATCTGATCCGGTGCCAGATGTTACCAGACGGATGTACTTGAGAGTTACAGCCCTTCATGACAGAAAGTAGCGTGCCTGGCAAGCACACAGCTTATAAACACGTGTAGAGGATTTGGAACGGCAGTTGTTCAATTTTTGCCCTCTCTACCTGACATGCTTTGGCAAAACTCAGGTTCAAGAGTTTTAGGAATACTTGGTTTTGGAAAGGATTCACCTGGACAAGCGTATCAGCCTGTGAGATCCATTATGTCTTGCAGAAAATGACTTGTTTATAACTCTGAAGGGCATAAAAAGAATAAAATCAGGCAAATTTTCGATGAGAAAGTGCTGTGTAAGTGGTTGCTTTAGTCTAGTTGACAGGTAAGAATCCCTTCTGGTGTTCGGAGTCTGGGTATAGAACTTAATGTTAGGGTATGCTGATGCATTTGGTCACTTTAAATACTTTAATGCTCAAGGCTAGTTTGATTCTTTTTGTTGCTGTTGTTAACAATACAATAGCACCTACATGTATAGGTTAGTTGTGTATAGCAAAATCTTGTTTTGGCTGGGAATGATAGGAACGTTGGTATGGAAACAAGACTTTTGCATTGGTTAAATGATTTACCCTCAGACAGTGGGGAAAAAAACTTGAAGGTCCTGGGGTTTTAACTTCAATTTAATAATTTTAGCATATTGTAACCAATCCTGTCTCTCTTCACACATAATACTTAGACTTTGGTAAAGCACTGTAAGTGTTTTGGGTCATGGCAGGAATTTGAAAGCTATGTAGTTGCTAACAGTCTGCCTGCTGCTGCTTCACAGATTCCAGGAGAAAGACTTTTAGTTTTTTATGATCTCGGTAAACTGTTCCACTGCCAACAACGTTATGGTCATAAGTGGAATTAAGCTTAAACTTTTTTCATCATGCTTAGGTGTTTTCAGGACAGAAATATTTCAGTGCAGTGTATCAGAAATATTGGAAGAGCACATTTAATTTTGCAATGTTCCATCTTAAATTGAGAGTCTAGAATGCCTAAGATTATTTAAAACTAAACCCACAATCTAAAGACCTACAGCCAGTCACCTGCCTTTTTTTTTTTTTTTTTCCTATCCTTCTAAAGAGAGCAGGGTGTCAGTTGCTTCCAGCTTCTGTTGATCAGTAACACAGATGAGGTACACCGAGGGGCTTTACATTTACCCGCATAGATGATGGGGTGTACATTCTCCTCTTTCTGGGAAATAATTTACCATTTTTTTCACTGAAGAGTAACGCTGTGTGTTGGCAGCCGAGTTACTATGCACGCAGCGTATATAGTGTGTCCTGCTGTAATTGCAGTGCTTCCTTCCTCCAGAGGCGTTACTGGTGCACCACTGCCTGAAGGACACTCCTGCATTTAGGCACAGCTCAGCTTTGCCTGAACGTTGGTCTTTTTAACTTCAGTGCAAAATGGAGCAAATTGTCTGGGCAGTGGTTAACAGCATCGAGTGCCATTTGACCCACATAGTTACGAGGTGAGTTCCCAAGGGTTTCAGATCGATTACTCTGCTGCTGTGTAAGCAGAGCTCACCTCTGTTTAGCATTTTAAAGCATCTCTAGCTTACCCTGTGTAGGACCGTGTATAACTGAATATTTCTCTTTGGCATATATATATATATGTATATGACAGGAATAAGCCCAGTGAACGCTAAGCTTTGCAAAGCTCCAGAAGTTTAGCGAGTGCCTTAGAAGCTTGCCAGCCTGCGTAAAGATAACTTCTTGTTTGTTTTCCAGACATCTGGAGGACTGTGGACAGAATGCATATCACAGCTCAATGCAGATCAACAGGCAGCCATACAGGAGCTCCTGAACTCTGCTTGAAGGGCCTTAATTATCATCTGCAAGAAAACTAACTCCAAATAAACGTTTACCCTATTGTTTAGGTTTCTTTTGTTTCTTTTTTGAGTAAAACCAGAACTGTAGTGCGTGTAGGCCATTCTTCTGCAACCTACAGGCAGTGGCAGCAGGAAGAAGCATTCTTTCAGAACGGTGTGTAAATCGGTTTCTATCCCACAACACGGAAGAAGTTTCCTGTAAACCCTACAATAGCACTGAAGAGTATTTTTCTAACGGTATAAGCCATCCGTACGATGGTGAAAGGGAAACAAGTTGAATTTTCTCCTTAGACATAATGAATTAAGAAACAGCTTTAAGACCTTCAGCAGTAGATGTACGTTATAACAGATTTCTCTACATCTAGTGTTAATTGTTTTAATTGGAGTGTGAGTCTTTGTAGGGTAGGAAGTGTCCTTCTGCCCAGCAAGTTAGTAGATCAAAAGATGAAAAACTGAAGACAAACATCGAGCATGAAGACCTCATTGATCGCACTTTCAGATTCCCAAAACCAACTTGTACAGTGACTCAATGAGGAAAGCTGTTCAGCTTCCAGCCCTTGAATGTGAAGTCTCTTTGGCATGTCTGACAGTATCTGATTCACTCCTTAATAAATGAAATTGAAACACAAGAAGCTTGTGTAGAAGTTCAGTCATGTGTGGTTCTTTTGATTTCTTCTTGTGAAAAGATGCAAGTAACAAACTATAGAAGTCACGATCTTGTATTGGAAGCTTTTTGTATATTGGTGCCTATTACACATTTTATGCATTTTTGTTTCTTTTTAACAAATTTTTTCACCTGAGGATGTAGAACAGAAACATAATGGCATTACCTTTATGACATTAAGTTTGCATATCTTGACTTAAAAACGTTTGTCATGTTCAGATGCAGTTGCTTTTCCTGACTTATAAAGTGTAGTGTTGTTCCAGCTGCAACGTGTTGTGCAACACGATCTGGCAGCCAGTGATACTATTGCAGGAGTCTGGGGTTTTGTTTGAAACGATCATTCAGTTGGTAGCCAGACATGAAAGAATCAAAAAACCTTTCAAGTCTTTTTGGTACTGCAGGAGCAATATGTCATTTACCAGCTAAGTATAGAGTATCTGACTTCTGACAAAGGTGAGTGAAGTTTTTGCACTCTTATTATTTTGAAGATGTTTGTGTACGCATTGGAATTTAAAAGCTTCGATTTTTTTACTGAAGCATTCTTCGAGCCAATCTTGAGAGTCTCTTAAAACATAGAAATCTTGTTCAAAGAGGATATAAGTTTTCTTCCTTTATAAGAAGAAAAGGTAGAACTTCACAAGTAATAAATTCCTGTCGTACTAAAGAATAGACTTAGTTTTGCCCTGGAAGTTGTTTCCAAAACAAAACACCTGCAACCACCCAATACAGAACTTTCGGACTTCAGTTTTCGACACGAGGTTTGTGTACCGCTGTGGCATTCTGCCGTTGCTTTTTCTCTCCAGAGACTTCAAAGTAATGCTGAGTGTAAGGGCTGATATCCCCCACCACAGCGCAGCTGTTGCTATGCCACATGTTGTCTGTTCTCTGCACAGCTCGATCTCTCCATCTCATGTATGGAGTACATACACGAGAGTAAGACATGTTGCACGGTTGGAATTTTTGATGAAATAAAGACTCGAGGAAGGTGAATTTCCCAGTGACTCCGTGTATGTATCTGTGTACTGGGTGTGCAGCCGCCTTGGGCTCTTGAGCTGGAGGTTTCTTTTTTGCCGTACTGGTATCTACAGGGGTGCACACATACACCAAGTATTCCAAATATGATGACAGTGGTATTAAAAATAATACAGAAGTCAAGTACTTGTCACCCCATATTTTTTTTCAACTTTAAAGCATTTTACTGTGCATCTTTGGGGAGCAGCCTTTGCATTTGCTATTTAATCATTCCGCCCCCTCTTTGCTTAATTTAGCCAATTGTACTTACTTGTGTGGGGCTTGATGGTCTCTTAAATTTGAAGAAAAGCATTTGTTGTCTTTCCAAGAAGCAGGAAGCAGTGCAAACAGTATCTAAGCTTCTGTTTAGTAGAGGTCCTTTCCCTTTTTTGATTATCACAAAGATGTTTGTATTACGTCAGGAAATAACATCTCTCAGGACAGCTTAATGTCTGTTGAGACTCCAGAGATATGGGCTCCATGTTGGGTGAAAGTCCTGGGATTCATCTCACCTGTTGCTGGGTATCTGTAACAAAGTTTGTATATAAATAACTGCTTGCAGCCCTATCCAGTGAAGGAAAACAGGAAGCATTTGAGACCAAAGAGTTGATGCTGATGGCTGAGTAATTGTTAGTATCTCCGGTGAGTCTTGGGATGGTCTTTGTTACTGGCAGTTCAGTGGCTCACTGAAGAGCCTTAGTAGTTGTTCTATAATGCACCTACTTGGAAACAATTTTATATTCTGGAATCTGTTATTTTCTACTCCTAGAATCTAACAATAAAAAAAGTCCTTTCTGTTAAAGTCAGACAGCCACCCTGCTGCCTCTTTGTGTCAGCCCTTGAGGAGATTCCACTAACTCTTGAGGTGTTTTAACACTGACAGGTAAATTACCTGCTGTTAAATCCCAATTCAAAGGTGTGATTTACAAAACACTCCTGTTCCTGGAGGGTGTGAGCAACCTCCATCCAAATCTCCTTTTGCCATCAAGTTGGATTTCCCTCTGACCAACATGCTATTAACAAGCACAATAACAAGTTTATGCCTTTTTGCTGCTACTGATTTAATCTTCCAATTTCACAAGAGCCTCACTCAGGAGACGTTACCCACTGCTATAGCCTAGAAGCCGTAAATTCAGTTTGCTTTTAGTTCAGGAGGAGTTTTCTACAGCATTATTTCTGACGTGAAAAAGAGATGTGAAGAGTGGAGACCCATTCAGGACATGAGAAACCTGTGTTTCCTGTCTCTGAATACAAAATGCTGAGCTCAGTTCACAGATTTTGCTCGCAGAATCAGCTCTGAGCTTTCTAGTTACCTGACAGAGAAGAAACCACGTGGCCTTTTGGCTACTCTGAGTCTGTCTAGAAAATCAACCTGGGAGGGAGATCTCTGAGCGCTCTTGCAAAGCTGGAGTTAGTGTGAAATTCACCTCTCTGATTTGGGGACAAGGAACAGCGATTTGTGCTCTGGGGGAGACAGTTTCTGCAGTCTCCATGAGATCTTTTTCTGTCATTCTGGTTCAGACCAGTGACGTAGTGTTCTCTGTATAGTTTCAACAAGGTCAGGTAGGACCTCCTATGTTCAAGTCAGTTTTGATTTTTATTATTTTTTTGCTTTCTTATGCAGAGGCTGCCTGTGACCTTGCTTCCAGGTGCTGGGAATTTTTGCAGATGCTAAACCATGAAATCAAAATGTCTTGAGTTTAATATTGGTACCACGCTTGGTTTAAGAATAACTTCAGGTAACACTAGATGCACACAAATATTGGTAGTGGAGTTTCACTTTTTGGGTTTGGTGTGGTTTTTTTGTTTTGTTTTTTAAGTGATGGATACTAAAAATTTAACAGTAAGCAGTTAATGCCATGGGAGTTCAGATTTTTGGAGATTGTGGTGGTGTGTGTTGTGGCTGGCAGAGGAGGTTCAAAGCTCTCCTGAGACACCAGATGAGCAATACTGGTTTCTTGAATGGTATTTTTGAATTTTCTTCTAGAAAAGCGGGAACGATGCATGTTGGCAGATGTTCCCCAGGGCACCGTTACCCAGGAGTAAACAGTGAAGTATTTTGAAGGTAGCAGTGACTGGCAGGAATTACAAGGGTAACTTCAGTCAGTTTTGCTCAGAAGATTGTTACTTGTCTCTCATTTTCCAGTGCTGCTTGCTACCTTGGGTGGATGGCCAGTGCCTTGAGAGTGAGGGAAGGAGGGAATATTTCTTCAACTTAATATTTCTGCATTAAATGTGTGACTGCTTTTCTCCTAATAGCAATGGGAACGTGCATTTTAAATATATCTGAAGTATGGTTTTTCAGGTAATATGTGCTGTTAAAATGTTGTTCTCTAATAACTGCACAGCCCTGTCTTGTGGTGATGGGATTTGATGTCAATTAATTACAAGGTTTAATATTCAGTTCGTGTATTACCTTAAAAAGTAGTGCTAATCTTCCAGACAAAAAATCTTGGAATAAAATTCACATTTTGGAATCAGACCAGTGAAAAATGTGATGATAACACAGGACCTTGAATGAGGGAAGCTAACCTCGCCTGAATTACTTGAAGTGAAGTTGTGCTTCATTACCGTTTTTTTAAATATCCGAGAATAAAATGCCAAGAGACATTTTTACTATTGCGTTTTGTCTGTTTAGGAGTTGGTATTCCTGAAAGGAAAAAAAAAATAAAAAATTAACAACCCCAAAAAAACCTCCAACCCCCCCAAACTGCTAATTTTTGGCAATAGTGTGAAGAAGCATTGGATGCACTGGTTGGATTTCACCAGTTCTGTTCTCAGCTTAAGTTTCTTCTGGCCAGTAGATGGAGATAATACAATTGAATACGAGAAGGCCATGCACTTGTGCTGTGGAAGTTTGTGCTTTACAGCCCCTGGTTTTTGGGAGGCTGTTTCTTCGCAGGACTAGTTTATAAGTGGTGGTAAAGTCCACCTTCTGTTTACTCGAAGCCTGTGCACAGACCAGGTAGATTGTCTCAAGAACTGCCTATTGCAGCCCTAGTGGGAGAAAACAGAAAGAGGGAGTGTAAAATCAATACAGATTTATCCCCATTTCTCCCATCACTAAAAAGTCTGAATAACGTCCACACCTATAAAGAAACGTCTCGCTGTAGAACAGAGACAGACATAGCAGCTTTTTCCTTGCCACTACAAATGCAAACTCTGGTTTTGGAACCTGCCACCTCTCCTTATCCACAGGGTAAGAAGGAAATGAGTTTTATTTTGAGTTGCCTGAAAGTCTGTGGGAGCAAGTGAAGAGGAATGGTGGCTGTGTGGATGAGCTCCTGGAGCTCTGTATTAACATCAAAACCTGAATTTCTAGCCTTAAAATGAGTAAAAGCTTAAAAGACATTGCTGGAGGTGGCAGAGTGTGATAAGAAAATAAATTTCAAGTGGAAAGTTAAAAAGAGTTAACTGGAAAAAAATATATACTACAAAGAATTACATAAAATGGAGTCTTTATTTGCCCTCGTTGCTATTAAAATTTTCTTTCATAATTTTTATTACCCTTAGGGAAGACAAACGAACCAACACCACCACCCCCCAGCACAAACAAATTACATGTAAAATGCCTAGCGCAAGCCTTCAAGGTGCTGGAATCAGATTCCCCTCACCACTCTTGCGCCTGAGTACAATACAGAACTCTGAGTAGCTGCCCAACTGTAACTTCTGTGTTCTAAATAAACATTATTACTGCACTGTAAGTGCAGTAAATAATTTTTGTCCTGCCACGTTTCTCAGTCATCTTGTCTTCAGCATTGGTTTGCAGAAGCCCAAGTCCTTTGCTATACAAAAGATGGTCTCGTTTCAGTTGGTTCATTTTATAGGTCTATTTTTCTTCTTTGACACAGCTACCAATGCTTTTCCTTGTGAAAAGGACAACAAAAAAATCAAAATAGCTTTTAAAAAAAATTAACTTCTTGACAACAGTTCACCTGGATTTTGTGTCTGAACTGTGAGACTTGGACACTTAA